TTTATCCACCAAGGTTATGACATCAAATGACAAACAGGCTACTAAATCTAGTGACTAAAAGCCTAACAAACTTATGCCTTGCAACTGTCTCAGCCTCTGCTTTTTATAGAAGATCACTTATCACGCCCCAGCTCACCTGTCTAACACTAATAAGCTCAAACTACAGTCATCAGTACTTCATCATCTCCAAAATGATCACGACCTCCACGGTAAGTCATCTTGTCTACTAGTCTGATGACCGCATTTGTACCACTCCTACTCTGATAATCCGATAAATAGCCCATAGATAAAATAAATAAATATATAAATAGATGGTTCTCACGAGTTTCAGTTCAGAATCCTGAGAAAGAAGCCTCTTCCTAGTGCAGTAACAGAATAAGAATAACTTATAAACAGCCCATAAACCAGTGGATAACATGACCGCCTACCGATCAACAGGCTTAGTTTGGACATCAACGCCCCTACGAAAACAAGCTGGTATTCTTTGCTTGCACTTTGCTTGTACCAATCACACTTTCCCCCACTATACCCCCCTCCCCCCCTCAAGCTCGGTAGCTGTGACATCAATCCTAAAAGTCCCACTAACGACCCAACAACCACACTGCCACTAACAACCTGATTCAAATCCAAGGAACGGATAGTAGAGGGATAAAAACTCGTAAAAAAAACTCGTTAACCGCGTCGATTGCCCGCAGACCAAAGGAAGGAAATGTAAAAGAGACAAACGGCTTCTTCAGTCCATAAGGACAGAGAGAAAGCAAAAGAGACCAAAACGAAAATCTAAAAAAAAAATAAAAAAAAACAGAGACAAAGTTAAGAAAAAAAATGTGAATTATCCGCGAATTCCCCATAAATTACTCGTTACTTAAGAGTGGTAGTTATGACAGAAAATAAAATACAAGAGCAAGCGAGAGAGAGTTTTGTTTAAACATACTTTAAGATGTTTGTAGAATGTATTAGCAACTACGTGAAAAATTAATAACAAGAGCCTGAATCAGTGACAGAGAACGACAATAAGAATTAATGAGGCTTTTAGCACACAAATTACCAAGCATTAGCCAACTATGAAAATAATGCTAATTGAAAGAAGTAGTAAATAATTAATGATAAGAAGAAGAAGAACAGTAATTATAATAACGATAACAATAATAATAGCAATAATGATAATGAAAACAATATTGGTAATAATAATAATAATAATAATAATAATGATAATAGTAATAATAACGGTGGCAATAATAATACCGACAATAGCAACAATATTGATAATAATAAAAAAACAATAGTACTAGTAATAATAATGATAATATTGATAGAAATAATGTCAATAATAATAATAATAATAATGATAATGATGATAATAACAATAATAATAAGAGTAATAACAACAAAAACAACAATAATAATGATAATAATAATATTAATAATAATAGTAATAATAATAATAATAATAATAATAATAATGTTAATAGTAGTAGTAATAGTAATAATGATAATAATAATAATAATAGAAATAATAATAATAATAGAAGTAGGAATGATAATAACAACAGTAATGATAACTGTAGTGCACCTCTGCTGAAGGCGAGGTTCCACGTGAACTTTTAACAATGGTAGCATGATCCGACAGAAAAAAAATATTTCTGCTCTTACGTATACTCACAGATCACAAGTCACAAACACAACTTAAACGCAGGAATACAATAAACAAGTCAGGGCCCCACAACACACTAACACTCACCAACGTATCTTATCACGTGACCTATGCTTGACCTCCTGACCCTGACTCACTGACTCAGACTAAGCTAAACCCAAGGTCCACTCACTCCCCTCTGCGGGTGTGTACTTTTTAAGCCAATTTGAGAGCGTCGGCTTTCTCCCCTGGTTACCATGGCAACATCTGCAGAGCTGACTTGTTCTAACCCGCTGAGGTTTCTTGGCCCTATTAATTTGTGGTCTACAGTGAGGTAATAATAATAATTTTAATAACAATAATTTTAATAATAATTATAATAACAATGATTTTAATGATAACAATAATTTTGATAATAATAATAATTTTAATAATAATATTTTTAATAATAATGATAATAATTTTGATACTAATAATAATGAATTTAATAATAATAACAATAATAATAATAATAATAATAGTAGTAGTAGTAGTAATAATAATAATAATAATAATAATAATAATAATAATAATAATAATGATAACAAAATGATAATAATAACAAATTATTATTATTAACATTATTACCATCATTATTATCATTATCATCATTATCATCATCTAAACAATAACAACAACTACTAATACAAATAACGATGATGATATTGATGTGTGTGAAGATAAATCGATATAAAGAGACACAGATAGACCGACAGATAGACAGACAGACAGAGAGACAAACGGCAACGTAGCACAAAGGAAACATTCCACAGACCTGGTTACGCAACAGCCAGCGATGACAACGGGCGGTGTTTCTGCCTCACAATCGTGCCCACTACTGCAACTTGGCACTTTTCCCTGCCCCAGCCAGTGGCCCGTTGGCACTCCCAGACTGCTTGTTCTCCCTCCCCCCCCACCCCTCTCTTCTCCCCCCACCCACCCCATCTCGTCTTCACCCTCCCCCCACCCCTCACTTCTCCCCCACCCCCCCATTTCGTCTTCATCTTCTCCTCCCCCCCTTTGTCTTCTCCCCCCCCGTCCCCTCTACTCCCCCACCCCCATCTCGTCTTCACCCTCCCCCCACCTTGTCTTCACCCTCCCCCCCACCTTGTCTTCACCCTCCCCCCCACCTTGTCTTCTTCTTCCCCCCCCCCGTCCCATCTACTCCCCCACCCCCATCTCGTCTTCTCCCTCCCCCCCTCTAACCCTGTCTTTTCTGCCACTCTCTCCCCCACCCCTCCACCCCCTCTCCTCCTCCTCCTCTCCCCCTCCCCCCACCCTGTCCCTCTTTCCTCGTCGTTACGTCATCCTACTTAACCCCTTCCCCTCGTATCCATGCCATACCCCCCCACCCCCCCCACCCTTTCCTTTCCCCCCTCTCCCCACCCCCTCCTTCCCTCTCATCATCATTACCCTGTTTCTTTCCCCTTTTCTTACCCCTTGTTGCCTTATCATACCTCCTTCCCTTTCCCCTCGTTCTCTTTCCCCATTCTGACCATACCCACCCCCCCTCCTTCCCCCCCTCTTTCCTTTCCCCTCTTTCCTCCCCCTCCTTTCCCCCTCTTCCCATTTCCCCCTCCTTTCCCCCCTCCTTTCCCCCCTCCTTCCCCCTCCTCCTTTCCCCCCCTCCATTCCCCCCTCCTTTCCCCCCTCTTTCCCCCCCTCCTTTTCCCCTCTTTCCATTCCCCCTCCATTCCCCCCTCCTTTCCCCCTCCTCCTTCCCCCTCCTCCTTCCCCCTCCTCCTTCCCCCTCCTCCTTCCCCCTCCTCCTTCCCCCTCCTCCTTCCCCCTCCTCCTTCCCCCTCCTCCATTCCCCCCTCCATTCCCCCCTCCTTTCCCTCCCTCCTTTCCCCCCCTCCTCTCCCCCCTCCTCTCCCCCTTCTTTCGCCCTCTCCTTTCCCCCCTCCTTCCCCCCTCCATTCCCCCCTCCTTTCCCCCCCTCCTTTCCCCCCCTCCTCTCCCTCTCCTTCCCCCCCTCCTTTCCCCCCTCCTTTCCCCCCTCCTTCCCCCCTCCTTTCCCCCCCTTCTTTCCCCCCTCCTTTCCCCCCTCCATTCCCCCCTCCTTCCCCCCCTCCTTTCCCCCCTCCTTCCCCCCCTCCTTTCCCCCCTCCTCCCCCCCCTCCTTTCCCCCTTCCTTTCCCTCCCTCCTTTCCCCCCTCCTTTCCCCCCTCCTTTCCCCCTTCCTTTCCCCCCCTCCTTTCCCCCCCTCCTTCACCATCATCATTATCGTCATCATTTTCATTATCATAATTATCATTATCATTATTACTAGCTTTATTATCATAACAATGATAAAGATAATGGTTATGACAGTGATACTAGTGACAGTGATAAAACAAATAATAAGCTATGAATAAATAAATAAATAATAATAATAGAAAAATAAATAAATAATAATAATAACAGTAATAATAATAACAATAACAATAACAATAATAATAATAATAATAATAATGATAACAATGACATTAATATCAATATTAGCCAACAACAATAATAATAATAAAAAACGTAACAAAATAATGATGACAATAACAACGAAAGAGGAAAAGAAACAGAAGACAGACAGACACAGAGCGAAGACATGAACGCGAGAAGCGAGCAGACACACCGCTTGTATGGCATCCCTGTTGACATTGCATTGCGCAAGCGTGCAACTCCTCACTACAGGCGAGGTATGCCGGCCGACAAAACAACCGAACAAAAGTAAAGACAAAATCAACTTCACTCTCTAGGGATTCGGGAAATTGTTTTTGTTTTGAAAGAGAGAGGAAGAAACAAGTTACTTACACGTTACAGCATCCAAGGCGCGGATGGACCCCCCTGCGTGTCTCTCCCGAATGAGCGTTCGATTTCGTGGCCTCGGCAAAGATCAGCTGATTTCTTGGTCCGCGCTGGCGCTCTCGTGGCTATTTCTTTTAAGGGAATGGGTTGTTGTTTTTTTTTAATGAATTCTTTGTTTTATTTTCTTCTTTTTCTTCTTTATTTTATCTGTTGGGTTATAATTTTGAAAGGGAATATCCCCTTATGGCTTCCCGTATCGGAATAAGTCCATAGGATTATGCGCTCTGGTAAAAGAAAACGTTTACTAGATTTTTTTTTTCTTTTACAAGGGGTGACTAGCAGAAATGTCAAGGTGGTTTTCGTATTTATTTATTCAGTGTTTTGTGTCCTATTTCAGATTAGAGTTCACAATTTCCTTCATTATAACGATAGATTGCGATTAATAGTACCCTTATCAGCCTGTTCCAATCATTCCGGTGAGTAGGGTTTTTAAAACTTGATAAAGATGTATGGGTTTAATTACATTATTTCTTAATGATAATTC